TATGTCCAATCTACCACTTACTAACCATGTTGATGTTGTCCACGGCTGTCGATGTGTTTTTGGCTCGTGGCTATCCCGTGTGTGCAGAATAAAACTGTCCCACGGGGCATTCTCTGTCTCTCTTCTTGGTTCGCTCGCTGCGGCTGCAACACTTCCTTATTCGTCAGTTTCTGGATAACAAACCTCAGGGAGATGAGGCTTCTCACTCAGAAACTCTCCCTACAGGGGGCGTGATGAAGCCGTGGGAAAAGCTTGTGGCTTGAGTCAGACAGACCTTGATGGCATACTGGCTCTGTTATTTTCTTTTCGTGTAGCTTTAAAAAAGAAAGAAAGAAATCTCATTGTCTAGTGTATTTCAACTCATAGTGATCCCATAGAGCAAAGAAGAACTGTCCCCACAGCATTTCCAAAGCTGTAAATCTTTACAGAGCTGCTGGTGTGTTTGAACCACCTACCTTACAGATCATAGCCAAGCGCTTAGCCCACGTTCCACCAAGGATCTTATGACCCTAGACTCTCGGAGTCTCCAATGTGTTCACAATGGAGATGCTTTCAACTTTACAGAGTTTTGTTTTATTTTATTTTATTTTTTAAACTTTTCACTGTGAATTTTATAGACAAGATCATCAGTTTTGCATTCAACAAATCAGACACTTTGTTTCATCTCAATGATTGAAGTCCCCTCTGGACAACATCAGTTATCTGCTTCCTCCCTTCCCATCCTTTCTCAGCTTGGTCCTTAGGAACAAATGTTGTCCTTTGGATTTTGAATGACAGTTCTGTGGTGAACACACCTGTCTACCTATGGACTGCTTGGCTGAAAATTAGGTCATGAAGCTGAGCTCCTCTCTAAATGTAAAGGGTGGTTAAGAGGCATAGTCTCAGGTTCCTCAAGTCTCTTTCTGACCAGTAAAACCAGTTTTTTTATAAAATAATATTCAGTTTTGTTTCACATTTTCAGCCACTCTGTCCTGAACCTTCTAATGTGATTCATAGAAACTGATGTTCCCATTAACAAGTTTTTTGTTGTTTTTATTGCTTTTGTTGTGATAAATGCTGTCGCGTCCGTCCTAACTCATAGCGACCCTGTATAGACCTTCCAAGGAGTGACTGGTGAATCTGAACCGCCGCCTTTGTGGTCTAGTGCTTTTAAGGCATGTGGACGTTTGAAAAAGATAGCTATAAATAATCAGCTCACAATGTAGTACGCAGGGAAGGAGTTCTGGTGGTACCAGCTGCACCATGGGACAAAGATGGAGGCTGTCTGCTTCGGTAAGGATCTAGTCTCAGAAACCCTATGGGACAGTTCTGTTCTATCCTATAGGGTTGCTGTGAGTAGGAACGGACTTGATGGCAGTGAATTGGATTTGGTTTTGGTATCATTCTGAAAGTCGGCAGTTCGAATGCCCATGATAGTGCTGCAGAAGAAAGACCTGGTGATCCGTTTCCATGGAAACACCACAACCGAGAAAATCCATCCGAGCTCAGTCCTCCTCTGTAATGAGTCAGGAACGACTTGATGGCCATGGTTTTTAATTTTTAAGTGTGTTTTCACTTAACCTTGATTCTCCCCCCTTTCCTCCTTCCTCCTTATTATTACCCTGACTACTTAGGTACAATTTATGACTTGAGAAAAACATAGGCACCTTCCTGTTTTATCTGTATGTTTTCTGCAGTGAGATGAAATGGCACAGTGGCTGTAGTAATGGGCTCAAACAGAGCAACGATTGTTGAAGCTATTGCATTGTTGCCTTCTAATGTGCATGGGCTCGCTATGCATCTTAACTAACTGGAGGGTACCAAACCACAATTGTGTCATCTATTGCCTCTTTCCTTCTCTTTTTTTTAAACAATACAAAATTCAGCTCCTTTTGTTTTGTGATTCTCCTGTTTTCTGCTTGACAAGGGGTAGCCAGCCCTCCTCAGGGCTTTCTGTGAGCATCCTGTGAGCTCCCAGGAGGGGGATAGAAGAAGCAGGAAGCAGAGAAGAGGCAGAGTCCCGCCCTGCCCCCCAACAGATGGCTTTCTTTTCTGCTGGGGTACACCAGCTGGTTTATTCATAACCAAAATTTGTTCTTCACTCAGTTTTCAAGCCACATCCAGTCCTCCTTTCTTTTGTTCTTCTGTATACCCCCTGGGAAAGGAGTCCTGGTGTGGCACTGTGGGTTAACCCTGCAAGGTCGGCAGTTCAAATTCACCAGTCACTCCTTGGAAACCCTGTACAGGGTGGCTATGAGTCCAGACGGACTCAAAGGCACTTAACAACAACAATACCCCTGGGCCCAGGGGACCTCGTAGCACATTGGTTAAGCCTTCAGCTGCTAAACTAGGTGGAGCTGTTGGGGACCCCCCCCACCCACCGCCGCAAGCCACTCACAGAAGGATGTGGCAGTCTGCTTCTGTAAAAGATTAAAGCCTCAGAGACTGTCTGGGGGTAAATGCATGGCTTCCTCATGCCTCAGACACTCCAAAGAGCTCAATGCCTATAAGATAAAGTTGTTTTTGTTGTTAGGTGCCTTTGAATCTGTTGTAGCCCATAGTGACCTTACGCACAACAGAACACAACACTGTGTGGTCCTGTACCATCCTCACAATTGTTGTTATGTTTAAGCCCCTCACTGCTGCCACTGTGCCAACCCATCTCATTGGGGGCCTTCCTCTTTTTTGTTGATCCTCCACTTTTCCAAGTAACAAGATAAAGTTGAGAGTCCCTGAACAGGGATGACAATTCTCTGACGCCTCATCCTAGATGGCACCTTCTCACATAGTCACCCACTGCCCTTCCTCTGCACTTTAGAATTTATTTGTTGTAACCATTTGTTTCCTTCACACAAAATTAGTAATTGTGGTGCTGTGGATTAATGCGCAGGGCTGCAAAGTTGGTTCGAACCACAAGGTCGGTGGTTCAAGTTCACCAGTTGTTCCTTGGAAATTGTATACAGGGTCGCTATGGGTCAGAACCAACTCAACGGCACTTAACAACACAACAGTTTTTGCTTGTATGCACTGCAGCTCAGTGTAAAAAAAATTAAAATCCTCACAGCTGGACCAGTTATTAACATCATGAGACAAGATTGAAGTTGTCAAAGACTCATTTTGCTTGGCTTCACAATCAATACTCCAGGAAGCAGCTGTCAAGAAATCCAATGATGTCCAGCATTAGGCATAAAAAAAAAACAAACTAAAAACACCAACCAAACCATGGTATTTTCAATAGTTTCATATGCATGTGAAAGTTAGACAGTGAATAAGGAAGTTGAATAATAAATAAGAATTGATGTGTTTAATCATGGTGTTGGAGAAGAATATTGAAAGTACCATGGACTGCCGGAAGAACAAACCAGATCTGTTTTGGAACAACTATAGCCAGAATGTTCCTTAGAAACAAGTTGATGAGGCTTCATCTCTCATACTTTGGACATGTTAGAAGGGATCAGTTGCTGGAAAAGGACATCATGCTTGGTAAAGTGGAGGGTCAGTGATAAGCAGGATGACTCCTAATGACTGGCAACAGAATGGGCTCAAGCATAACAACTGGAGAACGGAGCAGGACATCCTGTCATGCAGAGGGTCGCTGTGCGTTCGAACCAACCCGATGGCACTTAACAATAACAGTCTTTGCTTGACTTTGTTAGGATTGTCTTTTTAGGAGGGCCCTGGTGGCACAGTGGTTAATAAGTACTTGGCAGCTAATACAAAGTCCAGTGGCTCAAACCCATCAACTGTTTCAAGGAAGAAAGATGTGGCCATCTGTTTCCATAGATCCACAGTGTTGGAAACCCCATGGCCTGTTCGTTTCATTTTAACCAAGGGTTGGCAAACTTTTTCTGTGAAGTACCAGCAAGTAAATATTTTAGGACTTGCATGCCAATAACTCAACCTTGCCATTGCGTGTGAAAGTAACCATACTAAAAAGTAAAAACAAAAAACCCCAAACCCAAACCTGTTACTGTTCATTCCAGCTCATGGTGGCCACCGGTGTACACAGTAGACGTGGGCTCTTGGCTGTTTTTTGGTTGTCATCTTTACAAAACCAGATCACCGGCCATTCTTCTGGGATGCCACTGGCTGCGTTCACCCACCAACCTTTTATGAGCAAACCTTGTGTTCTATGCAGAGACCCAAAGCTGTCATACAAACCCACCAATCTCATTGGCTGCTGTGGAGTCAATTCCAATTCATAGAGACCCAATAGGACAGAACAGAATTGTTCCCTAGGATTTCCGAGGCTGTAAATCTTTACAGATGCACACTGCCTCATCTTGCTCCTGTGGAGCGGCTGGTGGGTTCAAACCACCGACCTGTTGATTAGCACCCAATGCTTAACCAGCAGTGTCACCAGGGCTTCATAAAGCAGCCATGCTGTTGTTAAATACCATCAAGTTGGTTCCAACTCATAGTGAGTACAAGGAGTACATGGTGGTTTTGAACCCCTGACGTTGCAGATAGCATTTTAGTGTTTATCCTATAGCATCACACCAGGACTCCAAAGCTGTCATACATAAATGAATGTGCACGACTGTGTACCAATAAAACTTTATTTATGGGCATAGGGATCAAAATGTCACACAATAATCATGTGCCAGGAAACAATGTTCTTTTTTTTTTGGCATTTCCCCCCAACCATTTCAAATGTACACAAAAAACCATGCTGCCTAGCTCAGGGGTGGTACAAATCTCAGTGGGTGAGATTGGGCCTGTAAGCCTTGTTTGCCAGGTCCTAATTTAAAAATTGTTCAAGGTTCTTTGAGACTCTGTGAGGCCATAAGTAGTCAGTTAGGATGATGCCTGGGTATTTCCATGGAAAATATTTTCCAAGGCCACTCAGGACAGCTATACCAGTCTATTCCAAATACTGGGACCTGTAATAATATGGTCATCCTTGGAGGATTAAAAACACCCTATTTTCCTTACCCTCTTTGTCTTGCTCCCTTTTTCTGTGACCCAGGTCTCAGTCCTAAAGCTCAGCAGACCCTCGGTGGAATCTGATTTCTGCATACTCAGTGTTGGCGTCCTTAGGTTCCTGGGTCCCCCAGGGTCTGAGGGCTGGAAAGTTAACAGCAGCATAATGCAACTCCTCTTCAGTATTCTTGGGTTCTGGACCTTGTGAGGATGGTCTTGATACTGGGCAAATGGGTTTCTTTGGGGCCTTTGGTTCTGGAGGGCGAGTCCTTGCAGGAGGTTGCTGGGAAGGAATGCTTGGTGTGGCCTTCTGATTCTCAACCTGAGGGAATAACAATTATCCATCACTCGTTTGTTCAACAAATATCTGAGCACCTACCATGTGCCAGGTACTCTTTTAAGAGCTGAGGATGCTACCCCAAACCAAACCAAACCAAGCTCACTGCCATCGAGTCGATTCAGTCTCACAGGGACCTTATATGTAGGGTTTCTGAGACTGTAAATCTTTACCTGAGTAGCCTCAGAGATTCTCATCTTTCTCCTCAGAGCAGCTAGTGGGTTTGAACCACCAATATTTTGGTTAGCAGCCCAATGCCTAACCCACAGTACCACCACCAGGACTCCTTGAAGATACTACAGCCAGGAATAAAAGCAAAGTCCCTGCCCCACACTGAGCTGACTGTCCCCCTGTGGCAAGCAAGAAGAGACAACTAGCAAAGAAACAGGCACAGCTGACCCTGGAAAAATGCAGCGGCTAAGGGCGTCGACCTCCCTCGCAGTCCAAAATCTGTGTGTAATTTATAGATGGCTCTTAGACAACCTGAGTTTGAACTGCAAGGGTCCACTTAAATGTGGATGATCAGCGTAACATGGCATTTTAAGTGGATAGTTGCAACCTTTGAGCTGACTGTAATAGCACAGGGAGAGAGATCCAAGTATAAGGTGTGGTGCTGTGCATCGGCCCTGGACTGCGAACCACAAGGTTGGTAGTTCAAACCTACCACCTGTTCCTCGGAAATCCTGTACAGGGTTACTGTGAGTCGGAACCAACTCAACGGCACTGAACTCCAACAACATACAGTTCAAACCCATGTTGTTCAAGGGTCAGCTGTAGTATTGTCGTTAAGTGCCATTGAGTCAGTTCCAACTCATAGCAACCTTGTATAGATTTTCTAAGAAGCAGCTGGTGGGTTTGAAGTGCCAACCTTTTGGCTAGCAGCCCAGGGCTTACCCCTCAGCGCCACACCAGGACGCCAGCTAGACATAGTACTGGATCATGAAAAATGCTGAGAAGAAAACCAGGCAGGGTTGAAGGCAGTGGAGGGGAGGTAGGATGGGTATTTTTAGTCAGGGAAGACAGGGAGAAAGGAGGTCTGGTGGATCAGAAGGTTAAGCATCAGGTTACTAACTGAAAGGTCAGTGGTTCAAGCCCACCAGCTGCCCTGAGGGAGAAAGATGAGAAAGTGTGACTCAGTGAGGATTTGCAGGCTGGGAGACTCCACGGAGCTGTTGTTCTCCATTGACCTGTGGGGTCACTGTGAGTCAGAATTAACTGACAGGCAGTGGTCAGGAGGGAGAATCGCTGAAAGTTTTAAACAGGAAAGTGACGTGCCTTGATTTCTTTTTTTAACTTTCTATTTTGAAATGATTATAGATTTTCAGGAAGTAGCAAAAATAGTAGAGTTTCCATGTGCCTTTGGCCCCAGTGGCAACGTGTAACTCAAGGACACTATCAAAACCAGGGCATTGACATTGATCTGTGTGTGTAGTTTGCAGTTTTATCGCATCGTGGGGAGTCCTCTCATGTCACCGTAATCAAGGTACAGAACTTTCCCACTCACGTTGTTGTTGTTAGGTGTCGTCGAGTCAATTCGGACTCAGGTCGACCCTATGTGTTGCAGAGTAGAACTGCGCTCCATAGGGTTTTTGAAGCTGTGGTGTTTTGGGAAGTAGATGGCCAGGCTTGTCTTCTGGGATGCCTCTGCGTGGGTTTGAACTGCCAACCCTTCCAGCTAGTGGTTGAGTGCTGTTGTCAGAATTACTAAGAAGGTTGGGGGTAGAGGTATGTCTGACCTCTGTCCACCCCATGGAAATCAGCTTTGGATGGTTCCTGGTCATCATCCTCCCCACTGAAGAGTGACAAGTTCTGATGTTGTTACTTTATGTCCCCACAGTACTTAGCTAAGGACTCCTGTCCCATTCATAGTGTTTCTCATACATGTGCTTATCATGTCTCCATCCCTAACCCTGCACAGCCACTAACTGGGGAGCACCAGCTCTATAGTTTTACCATTTCAGGAATGTTATAGGAATACGATAGGGTGAGTATAAAACCGATGTTGTCCCATGTAAACTATCACTTAACCCACAATAAAAACTATTTTTAAAATGTTATGTACATGGGCTCATGTAGTATGTGTCCTTTTGAGACGATATTGAACGTCTCCATCATCACTTTCCACAGATATACTCGATTTGATTCCTGTGTATTTTACTTAGCAAGGTCCACTTGTATAGTCCCTGTTTATGTTGTCTATAAAAAGGTATTTTTTCACTTCCTTGTTTTTATTCCTTGAGTTCCATCCAATTGGTTGTGTATATCAATAACTTGTCCCTTTTACTGTTGTTTGGTCCCCCATAGAGTGGATATACCTGTTTGTGTTGTAAATGATAATATGTACAGGGACTAGATTAGAGGAGTTTAACAGTAGAAGCAGAGAGAACATAGAGAAGGCTACAGTTGTGTTCAGGTGAAATATGGTGCATGGATGAAGGGAGGTAGGAGGAATAAGGGAGAAGCGGTTGAAGGAGAAGCTAATGGAATTTTCTGATGGATTGTGTGGTGATAGGCAGGAATGGAAGCTGACACGAAGGCATTAGATTTGAGCTTAGTTAGAAAGCTGGTGGTGATATTTGTGAAGATAGGAGTACGGAGGTAGAAGTGTTGTATGTGGTTGAGTTAGTCCTAAGCTGGACTTTGAATATGGCAAGTTTGAGTTAATGCAACTCCTTTTCAAATTAACGTATTAGCTATTAATAACAAAGAGGAAGATACAGAAGATGTTTTTACCAACAGCTGCACTTTGAAATTGATAAAACATGCCATCAGTATACACTGATAATGACTGATGATTAGAACGTGAAAGTCAGAAAAAATAAGAAAGATCAGTATTCGGAAAGTGTGGCTGACCATGGTGACAGGAAAGATGATGGAGATCACATGACAGAATTTTGCAAGACCAACGGCTATTCATTGGAAATACCTTTTTATAGACAACATAAACAGTGAGTATACAAATGGACCTTGCCAAGAAAAAATACACAGGAATCAAATCGAGTATATCTGTGGAAAGTCATGATGGAGATGTTCAATATCATCAGTCCGACAAGGTCAGGGACTGACTTAGAACAGACCATCAATTGTTCATATGCAAGTGTAAGTTGAAGCTGAAAAAAATGAAGATAAATCCATGAGAGCCAAAGAAGAGACTTGAGCAGATCCCACCTGAAATTAGAGCCCATCTCAAGCATAGATTTGGCATACCGAACACTAATCCTGAGGAGTTAAGGGATGACATCAAGGACCTCATGGACAGAGAAAGCAAAAGGTCCTTAAAATGACAAGAGAGAAAGAAAAGACCATAATAGATGTCAAAAGAAACTCTGAAAGTTGCTCTAGGATGTAGGGTAGCTAAAGCAAATGGAAGAAATGGTGAAGTAAAAGAGCTGAACAGAATATTTCAAAGGGCAGCTCAAAAAAACCAAAGAAAGCAGTATAATGAAATATGCAAACACCAGGAGTTAAAAATTCCAAAAAGAAGAACATGCTCTGTATTTCTCAATCCGAAAGAACAGAAAAAAAACAATCAAGTTTTGGTTGCAATATTTGAAGGATTCTGTGGACAAAATATTGAACAACCCAGGAAGCATCGAAAGATGATGGAAGGACTACATAGTCACTGTATTACAAGGAATTACATGTCGCTCAGTCAGGAGGTAGCATATGATCAAGAGCCAATGGTGACGAAGAAAGAAGTCCAAGTTGCACTGGAGGGTGAAAATCAAGACTACTGGAAATGATGGAATATCAATGAATATGTTTCAACAATGCAGGAAGTAATCACTCATCTAGGCCAAGAAATTTGGAAACAGCTACCTGATGAACTACCTGGAAGAGACCCACATTGGTGCCCATTCCAAAGAAAGGTGACCCAACAGCCCATGAAAATCAAGAATAATTTTCATTAATATCACATTAATATAATGAACAAGGAGCTCTGGTAGTGTAGTGGTTATACGAATCCAGCTGCTAACCTCAAGGTCAGCAGTTCGAAACTACAGCCGTTCTGTGGGAGAAAGATGAGGCTTTCTGTTCCCTTAAAGATGTGCAGCCTTGGAAACCCTGTGCAGGCTCACTAGGCGTCAGAAACGACTCCACAGTAACTCAACAACAATGTAATGAAAATCATTAATATCACACACAAATAAAATTTTGCTGAAGATAATTAAAAGGTGGTTGCAGCAGTAAGTAGTCCATCAACAGGAAACTTCCATAAATTCAGACCACAGTCAGAAGAGGATGTGGAATGAGGGATAGCATTGCTGATGTCATGGTGAACTTGACTGAAGGCAGAGAATTCCAGAAAAATGTCTACCTATGCAAAGGTGTTTGATTGGATGGATCATAACAATTTATG